ATAGAGAGGATGCCATAAGTCCTTGCATGTATCGAGAGTGCCACAGGTACATGAATAAGAAGATGGTGATGACCTCACCAGCTTTACTCTGTGCATGGCCAGAGTCCTCACATTGGACTCCATTAGGCAAAAAGGTTTTGCCAGAGTCTCCAGTGATGGCAGAGGAGTTTCCCTTTCAGTATGCATCTTGAGCCTAGTACAGAGCTCCTTGTAGCCACTGAATCATTACTGCCTGAGAATATTATCAGACCACACTTGTATGAATACCAGAGAAGCAGGCAGGAGGGCTACTCTAGAGACATGCAGAGTTGACAGACTTCTAGAGAGAAGGATAGATCACCCACCCAGAGTACCTGGCAGGATAGCCCAAATTTTGCAGTCAAGGATACAGAGGACACACTTTGGAGATGGTGTCTCTTCAGTGTGGTTATCATCACAGAACTTTAGGGGAGAGTTAAAGTGATAACACTAGCAACATCTTAAAGACAGTATACCTGTGGATCAAAGGGTCATGTGTCCCATTGCACATACAGATGGAACAGGATGGAGAGATTCATCAAATATCTTAGCAGCAGATAAAGGACAGAACCAAGTGTGGGACCCAGGTGACTTGTGCCAGAACCAGTGCATTAGCTGGAACACTTTCTGAGAGAATTTGGAAGTCCTCAAAAGCCATGGAGGGCTGAGGAACCTCCTGAACAGAGCTGTGAACCTACCCCAGTTACTGGCTCCAGGTGCTACTTGGTGTCGGTATAAAGTGAGAGGCCACACAGGCCATTCCCTTCACAGGCCACTTGCCCTGACCCATTCAGTGCTGCTTTCCCTCTTCCGCCTGTGCTACATGATGAGATTTGGCCAGCCTGAGCTGTATAACAAAAGAGAAAAGGTCTGGGAGTATAGCTTTGCCTCGTATGTGGAAGGCCCTGGATTCAATACCCAGAACCACAAAAAAGCAAGACCCCAGACCATGAAAGAGAAAGCAAAATGAAAAGAAAGGAAATCAAGAAAACATAGGAAGTAGAAAAAAGGCATACAGAGCAGGCAGAGCAAAAACTGCCCAGTACCACCGACTGCATGGACTTCTATGGAGAGGCGAGAAGACAGTACTCAGGCCCAATGTTTAGAACCTGCTCAGGACTCAGATGTTGTGAGGACAGAGTTGGCCTCACAGGTACCCACACTGGTAGGTCTAGCCTCTTATTACTGACCCTCTTGCTGGGGTCCTGAGTGCACAGGTGTTCTGGGAGGGTCTATATGCTGCATCTCCATGGGCTGATAATTGATCATCACTAATGAGCTTTGGGAAGGAGATAGTGGGGAAACCCTAGCATTTTTTATCTGTGTTGTGCCAGTTACTACAGAAAGCAAAAAGAGAAAAGAAGAAGGAAAAAGGAGAATGGGAAAAAGTGGGAAGACAGAACAAGATGACCTATGTGGAGCTGCCTGGTAATGGCTGAAACATTGTCAGAGCCACCTCCTCACCCTGTCTCCCCAAGACTCTGGCAGGCACTTCTCTAACTATGCTGAACCTGACTCTGACAGGCATACTCACAGGGCTGGTGGGTGTGGGGTTTCACAGGGTCTTCAGTGTTAAAGTCTGGGGAAGCATGTGGAATAAGGGACAGAAAGGAAGTTTTCCAGTTTCAAGGTAAAATGAAATTAGAATTGGAAAATTTTTGGCAGATATTGGAAATACCATTACTGGGCATATTAGGGTAAAACCATATGAGACTGCTGATGATCCATGAAAGCAACAGCTTCACATGGCTGTCCTGTTATCACTGAGGAGGGGTCCTTCAGACCTACAGTTCTGCAGGAGAATGGTTCTTTTACCAGTCCAGGGTGGTGCTGAACATGGTCCTGGTGCCCAGAGATGAATATAGAGTGAAGAGCAAGTGAACACACAGGCCCATCTCTTGGTAGGGTAAACAAGGAGCCCACCGTTTAATTTGTTGCTTCTCCTGCTGGCTTCCAGGGTTTCCCAGCCTCCTCAGTCAGTTCCATATACTTTCCTTTCCTCTTTTCATTAGCATCTTCTTTCCTCTTGCCCACCCACTTCACCCCCACACTGGGACTTGAGGTTCACTTGACAACAGGTAATAGCAGGCGTTTCCTCGTCCTGTGACAGGACATCCTGGCGCCCTGTAGTCTCTCCCTGGCTTTAAAACAGACCCAAGCACAGGAAAAAACCCAGCTCTAAAATTAGCAATGTGATAGAAGAAAGGCACATAGTTGCTTTCTGTACTGTTTGTCAATGAAACAAGTCTAAACAGGCCAAATGCATTTCCTTTTTGGGCAAAACAGACCTGTCAGGGATGATGGTCAGATGCTGAACAGACAAGGCAGCCAGGGAGGCTTGAGAAGCTGCCCAAAATGGGTGGAGGCACTGCCCATTGCTCTTCTGGCTTTTTCTGCTAGCCTCCAGCTATTAGAGAATTTTAGGACAGAGACTGGTCTAACCTTTCCAGAGATTGTGCTTGGCGAGAAATACCCAGAGTAGGGCGCACTGCCTCCTCAGAACCTCAAGAGGACCTTGACACATCCTCCCAAGACTACTGAAAAACAACTGGGATTTCAGTTAATAAGATGGTTTTCCTCATTTTGATTTTTTTGTGTAGTATTTGGAAGCAATACCATTTTCTCATGAAACAGGCACTTGCAGGAGGCAGCTGTCAGTCTTGACAGCAAACCCACACTAGTTCTAATGACTCCAAATAAGACTCCCAAAGATACTTAATAAGAAAGACAGTGATCAGATTGTTTATCACACTAGAAGTAACTTCCACAGATAAGAACTATTGTTTTTTTAAACTCCCGCCAAGATGTCCTCTTTTAACCCAGCTTTTCTTTTTTTTTAAATATTTTATTATTTTTATTTTTATGTGTATACATGTATTGCCTGCATGTAGGTAAGTGCACCCATGTCATGCAGTGTCCGAGGAGGACAGAAGAGGCTGTCGGATCCCCTGGAACTGGAGTTACACACAGTCGTTAGCTGCCATGTGGGTGCTAGAATTTGAACCTGGGTCTTCTGCAAGAACAGCCAGTGTTCTTAACTGCTGATCCATCTCTCCAGCCCCTAACCCAGCTTTTTTTAATGATGTTTTAAAAATCTTCCATTTCCTTCTTGAGAGGTTGGATTCAGATAGGTACACATCTCTCTCTGATTCAGTAAGAGAGAGGAACTGTTTGTTTGAGGGCAAAGTGGGACGCTTCCCTAAAAAGTGCCCAGTGCTAGGCAGGGCGTGGTGGTGCACACCTTTAATCCCAACACTCTGGAGGCAGAGGCAGGCAGATCTCTGTGAGTTCAAGGCCAGCCTGGTCTACATAGTGAGTTCCAGAACAGCTGGGGCTACAGGGAGACCCTGTCTCAGAAAGACCAAAAAAAAAAAGAAAATGAAAAGTGCCCAGTGCTGTACTGTTTGTGGTAGAGGTGGGAAGAGGACAGGATTGATCCTCCATCACATCTACATGTTTCTCATACCCATGGGAGGCACAGAAATCAGCCCAACTGCAGCTGGGTGAACTGCAACTGGCTTAGTAATTGGTTCATAGTCCCATTGATAGAACCAAGATACAATTCCAGCTCTCCTGCTACTGAGCCCTGTGTCCTTCCACTAACACTTCACAATTCTTCTTCCCTTCCTGCCTCTGACTAGACACAGGGAAGTGACTTTACCAGGACCATTCCACCACACTATTCTTAGCATTCAGGGTTACCGGGTTTCCTGATTCCCACCAGGCATTCTATAGCATATAAATACCCATTGGCCTCTTTCTGGAAACTGTTTCTCAAGAAAGATAAAGGCCCAGGATCCATTATTCCTAGAATGATTCACGTCAGGCTTCCTGCCATTTCCTCTGTTGGAAGTATACTTTGGACACTAGGAATGGCTGGCCTTCTGCACCAAGAGGGAAAGGCAAGTGGTCAGCTAAAAGTGCCCCACACTCTGGCCCTCTTGTTTCTACCTGTTCAGAGACCACAGTGCTGACTTACCCTCAGTTAGCTGCAAGAAGCTTGAACTTCACTGTGTTGTTCATGATTCTTAAAACTCTGAGCCCACAGGATGGAGAAGTGAGACTCCCAGGTCATTGGTGGTGGTGGTGGGGGGTCACAGTTGGACAGGTGTCATGGTTTCCACTACCTACTTCCTTCCAGAACAACTCTGTGGGTTATTTCTGGCAGTGCCACACTCCGACCCGTTAAAAAAAGCATTTCTTTTTTCTCTCACTATGTCATATCTTGTACACAGTATCCCCCAGTTCACTGGGTGCGTAGGTGGGTGTCTGATCCAGTGTTTAGAGGCAGCTCTGCTTTCTGATGATTCCATGTCATGTAAGGCCAGGTTATGATCTACATCTGTGTTACCTCTAGAATATGAACATGTGTGCGTGCATGGGCAGGTACCTGCTGTCCACTCAGGTTGTGTATATAACGTGCTAGGATAAGCTTCTCCTATACTGGTCACAAGAAAGGGTTTGTACTGAGCCCGGGTATGGCCCTGGGAAGGCTGGCTTAGAACAAAAGCCCAAGCCCTGACCTCCTGTTGTGACTATTATCTAGAGAGGATGGAATCAGGCTGGGGCTGGCTCTCTCACCTCTGCCCAGCACAAGCCACCTCTTCCCCAGCTGTCTCAACTTGGCAGCAAGAGCATAAACATTAATCATCCCAAAGGGTGAAGTGGTACTGATTATGTAGACTTGGAAAAGCAGAGCACCTTACCTCAAAATGCTAGAGCCACCTTTAATATGAAAAGGGTTTGACAAGTAAAAAACCAAATGGTGTAGTCCTCAGCCTGAGTTGCAGATTTCTATCTTGCTTTTGCCCCCAGCACTGGGGGGATGACCACAAAGTATGTCTATGGCCATGTTTAGAGATGCAACCTGCAACCCTGCATCAGACTACCCAAGGCCCCCTTATGATATCAGAAAACCCCAAAAGGTCTGCCACCCTTATGGGAGGCACAGTATGGCCACTCTGCATGCCCTGGGTACTTACTCGCCAGCTGGAATGCAGCAGCCATGGCCTCCTCCCAGCACTGAGACTCTGGTGACATCAGGGGCAGGCCTGTCAGCCCTAGGACGAAGGTGAGCTGACCCACAGCAAGTGCAGCTGTTGCCACCAGGTTGCAAGCACGCATCATGTCAAACTGTACTGTGGACCAAGAGGGAGGGAAGGCAGGTGGTCAGTATGGTGAGCCACTCAGTGAAGAGCCAAGCCAGGTGTTCCTTCAGCAATAGCCACTCCATTTCTGGGCCTCCCTTAGGCCTTTGAAAAAGCAATAAGAGCAGCTAGTATCTTCTCTTAAACAGAACTCTCTAGAAGCACCTCACCCAACCTGGAGCCTTCATGCTGCCCTGTCTTCTTTCTAGTCACAAAGAATGCCTCACGGGCCTAGCCTGGCTGCAATAGTCACATCTCACCTGAGCTGGACCCTACTCTGTGATTTGAGTCTATATATATGGCATATGTATGTGTATGCACATGTGTATGAGATACATTTGCCTGATATACACATAGAGGCCAATGATCAACTTGAGGTAGCTTCCTCTATCTCTCTCCACCTTATTTTTTGAGACAGGGTCTCTCTGTAGCCCCAGCTGGTCTGGAACTCACTATGTAGGCCAGGCTGGACTTGAACTCACAGAGATTTGCCTGCCTCTGCCTTCCGAGTACTGGGATTAAAGGCAGGTGCCACCATGCCCATCCTGAAATTGGGTCACTTACTGAATCTGGAGCTCATCATTTCAACTAGACTGGCTGGCCAGGAATCCTCCTGTCTCTGTCTCCCCAGTGCTAGGGTTAATGGCCTTTAATCCCAGCACTGGGGAGGCAGAGGCAAGCAGATCTCTGTGAGTTCAAGGCCAGCCTGGTCTACATAGTGAGTTCCAGGCCAGCTGGGGCTACAAGGAGACCCTGTCTCAAAAAGACCAAAAAAAGGTGGGGAACTAGAGAAGGAACCAGACCTGGGTCTGCTAAATCCAAGGCCCCCACCCCACTTTTCTTATCTTCAGGTCCATATATCCTTCACTCTGCCCAGCATCCAGAGTGGTACTTCAACCTTCTGCCTACCCTACACCCTGGTCTCAGTAGGGCAGGCAAGGCAGAGTTGCAGTTAGAGGGAGGAGACTATGATTGGCAGAGAACCTTGTTCTCCCCAAATTAAACCTCATACCCAAGTCCACACACTGTGTCTTGATGAGGTAATGGTGCACCAGCATGCTGATACTTCCAAGCCACAGGTTGCTCCAGATCAGTAACAAGTCTGTCAGTGGATACTACCAGAAACAAGAGCGGACATAGTAGGAACACTGTGCCATAGCCCAGCCTCACATTTCCATGACTTGTGATATAACAGTAGTTAGGAAGTTCCGATTTACAAACCTGTTGCAAATAAGTGTTCAGGTCAAAACAGGCCTTGAAGACTTGAGGTACTTACTTTTCCCAGAGTTTGAAAGATTGATTTTCAGAATTGGGTTCTATCAAATGTCATAATCAGAACAATAAGAACTAAGCAAGAAAGAACATAATCTTCCAAGATCTCTGAAGGACCCGTACTCTGGGGTGATTTCCTCTGTGGCCAAGATGGAAACAAGGAAAGCATGGAGGCTGACCATCTTATACACTGGACAGTTGACCTCTGTGTGAGTGAGAGGAGCTAGCAAGTAAAGCCCTACTTCTAGAGATTTGTGGATCTTTTGGCACACTTCTCACAGAGTACTCATTGGGGCAACATAGGGGAGAGGACAGGCTGAATCACTGCTGCCAATATCAGCAGTTCTGTTTGGTTTGACCTAAATATTTATTGAAATGCAATTTGAATTCACAGAATATCTCAAAGCCCTCAGTGTCTGCCTCTCTTCCTATCTCCTGTGAGTTCTGTACCCTGGACACATGATGGGCCTCTGCCCTAGGCCTATGATATCCATCACTTTCTCATTGTCGCCCCACTATCCATCCCCTTTCCAAAGTCCCACCTTTTCAGACTCCTCTCACTACACACCAAAGGCAGCCTTTCAAGTTCCCTGTCACCCTCTCTGGTGACCCAACTGGGAGCCAGAGATTGGCTGGTAGCCAACCATCTCAAGTCAGGCCTTAGAAGTCTCCTCTAAATGACCAGAGACCTCTTTGTACTTCCTGGGCCCTAACTGTATTCTTGGAACCTATCCAACAGTCACCTCCACAGAGGTGAGGGGTGAATATCAGTGTCCTGGAGGAACCCTGGATGAGAAAAAACTTCTCTTCATGTTGGACCAGTAGGAATATAGGATGGTGTTAAGCTTTATTTAAGACCCCACATTGTCAACCCTAAAGTGAAGCCCTCTTTCCTAAAGGCCTTTCTCAGGCCATTATGGCAATGTGGGAAAAACCATCTCATGTGAACAGAACACAGACTTTTCTTGGGATCCTGTGCCATATGACTGCCATCTCTGCCTTGACCCCTGTGTGCCCCACCCCATCTTCAGGCAGGATGGTGTCTGTGATTCATTCTCCTTACAGGTCATGTCTATATTTAGGCTACAGAGTCAGTATCATCCAGGGGTTTTGTGCCACTTCCTGCCACCAAGAGTCAGCCTATCCTGCCCATTGTGTTTTGAGCCACTTCGTCTGCAGAGAACTCTCTATCATTTAGAGCTTGAGAGGCCCTTCTAGATACCAGGCTTTTCCAACTTGTACCCTCCAACCTGAAGGTAGCATAAGCAGCTTTAAAACTCCAGTGAATCTAGACTGGTGTGGTAGCACATGCCTTTAATCCCAGCACTCAGGAGGCAGAGGCAGAAAGATCTCTGAGTTCCAGGCCAGCTAGAGCTAGAGGGAGACCCTGTCTCAAAAGAACAAAAAATAAAAATAAAAAAAGACTTTAGCGAACCTTGTATAAATGCTGCAAATGTGAAGAGCTCTGCAAATGTACATGGTGACTGATGTGCATGGTGACTCAACCAGAGAGAGATGCTGCTAGATGGACAGCAGTCACCACTGACTGGAACCTTTGTCCATATTGGGTACCTTAGCAGCTGCTTCTCTCCTGCTTTACTCATAGTAAAGCAAGTGGCCTCTAGTGGGCCTCACTTATGATGAAAGAAAGCTCAAGTTCTTTAATCCTCAGTATAACCATGAAACAGAACCCAGATCACTAGAGACTCTAAGAGACCTGGGTAATTTTTTTTTGTCTTTTTGAGACAGGGTCTCCCTGTAGCCCCTGCTGACCTGGAACTCACTGTGTAGACCAGGCTGGCCTTGAACTCACAGAGATCCACCTGCCTTTGCCTCCCGGGTGCTGGGATTAAAGGCGTGCGCCACCACGCCCGGCTAGAGACCTGCATAATATTTTAAAGGGCAAGGAATTAAGACCTGGCAAGATGGAACAGCAGATGAAAGCACTTGCCATACAAGCCTAGTGATTTTAGTTTGATCCCTAGAACCCTCATAAAGATAGAAAGAACCAACTTGTGAAAGTTGACCTCTGATCTTCACACACATGCTTGCACACATACACATACAGGCACATAACATGCATATGCACTAATAATTTTTTAAAATAATTTTTAATGCAGGAGCCAAAGAGATGGCTCAGTACTGCTTTTCCAGAGTTCAATTCCCAGCACCCATGTTGAGCAGCTCACAACTGCCTGCAGCTACAGCACCATGGAGAGCCAATGCCTCTCTGAAGGGACCTGCACATACATGTATCTACTCAGACACACACGTACACACACACAAAATTTAAAAATTACGGACATGGTGGCATATGCCTTTAATCTCAGCACTCTGAAGACAGGGTAGGTGGATCTCTGTGAGATGGAGGCCAGATTGGTCTACATAGTGAATCCCAGGCCAGCTGTGGCTACAGGGAGACCTTGTCTCAAAAAAGACCAAAAATTAATTAATTAAATTTAAATTTTTTTTTTTGGTCTTTTTGAGACAGGGTCTCCCTGTAGCCACAGCTGTCCTGGAACTCACTATATAGACCAGGCTGGCCTCAAACTCACAGAGTGGTGGGATGAAAGGCGTGTGCCACCACGCCCTGGCAATTAAATCTTTTAATAACAAAGGGGCAAGAGGTGAATCTAGAGCCTGACAGCTCAAGACTCCTGACATGAAGTAGCCAGGTGGGCACATTCTTCAAGGTATAGGTATACCTTGGAGTGAGTGAATGTGGTCTTGGACTCTAAAAGGATGCAGAAAGAACAGTAACAGAGACTGGAAAGTCGGAATAGTGGAAATCCCCTTGAGCTGTAATGTGAGACTCAGAGCATGGTGTGACTTGCTAAGGCCCAGGGAGTGGGATATCAGGGCATAGTTGCCCTCACCTCCCATAGTTAAGGTGGCAGCAGGGGGGTCAGGCAGATAGCTAGTTCTTTTGATTTGTTAACTGTTCTCCCTCCTTCACAGCCTGCCTGACTGTGATGACCACACACTGTGCACAAAGCTAAGCCCATTTAAAAAAAAATTTTTTTCAAAAAGACCAAAAAAAATATATATATATATATGTGGGAATGGCCCAGGTAAAGCCTAGAATGTTGTACAATTTTTATTATTATTTTCATTTTATGTGTATGAGTGTATTGCCTGCATGTATATGAGTGCACTTACATGTGTGGTACAGTGCCGCGGAGGTCAGAAGAGAGCTTCAGATTCCCCTGGAACTGGAGTTAACAGTTCTTAGCTGCCATGTGGTACTGGGAATCGAACCCAGGTCCTCTGCAAGAGCGGTCAGTGCTCTTAACCACTGAGACATCTCTCCAGCCCGCTAAGCCCATTTCTATGTGCTTCTGCAGGGTGCCCTGTCTGCAGGCTGTGTGTGATATGGAAAAACATTTCTGACCATCTGTGGAGGTTGGCATTCTTAACAATGCTCTGTTATTTATACAAATAACAATGCTCTGTTATTTATACACTGGACTCTCTGTGCCTTGGTAGTTTGGTTTGGGTGTGTATTGTGTGCATGTTTGCACATGTGTTGGCTCATGTGGAGTAGGGTACACATGTACTCATTTGTACATGCATGTGGGGGCCATAGGTTGACATCTGGTTTCTTCCTCCATTACTCTCCAACATATATATTGAGGCAGGGTCTCTCACTTGAACTGAGAGCTTGAAAATTTGGCCAATCCATTTTATTTTATTTTGATCTTTTATGAGACAGGGTCTCC